ACACAGTAAAACTCAATGAAAGGTTAAAAATGATTATAACATTTTGTTTTTAAATCTAGGTTCAGTTTAAGAAATATCTGGAAGGAATTTTCTTAAAACCTTTTTAAAGCAAGTTACATGGAAAATTTCAGACCAAATGATTACTCTTTGGCAAAATTATATATAACTGAAAACAAGACCTTAAAAATGCGAAACACGAGCAATCTGAACTCAGGAAAATACTTCCAATTCAATCTCAACATAATAATTAAAATTCCAAAAGTGACACATGTATTTAAAGCTCAAGAGAAACACATGCAAGTTCTGATCTCAGCATTTATTTGTGTTTACATTTTTCAAATACTTCACTGTTAAGAGCGCTGCTTCAAGTTGACTTGAAAAAAAAGTGAAAATTCACAAAAGGATTTCTTAGACACTCTAACATCCCCTTTTGTGACAGTCAATCAGTGGAGCTAAGGCTGCTGCACTTAATTGATAACTTCTCCTTCTCTTACATGGGAATGCTGCATACAGAGGTCACTCGGCAGTACTTCCACACTTTGCCTCAATTGTCTGAATCACTTATAGTCTGTGACTTATGAAAAAATAAGATCTCACTAATTTCAGTGGTACAGAACAAGTTCTCTGTATTCAGAATTGCTCCTCATCAAACAGTACACTGGTTTTTTTTTTTCCTCTGTTAATGGAGTTTGAAATAAAATCCATCAATATGGGAAGTACAGCAAGCATCTCATCAGCTTTAAGAAATCCGAAGTCTCTTCCTCTAACACTCCCAATCACCTGCAACGTGAGCCCAATTTTCTTTCCTTCTCAGCGATTATACTCAGTGTTACCCAACTTTTAAAATAAAGCTATGCATTGTCCATATTCTGAATAAATTAGTGGTATCAGAATTCACTGAAATTCTTTATCTTTTTCCAGCATTAACTTGTTCTAGCCCTGGGTTTGTATAACCAAAGACAAATAGAGTATACAGTGCATATGAAGAGAATCATGGGAGGAGGTACAGAATCTCCAGGTCTACAGCACTGAGAAAACGTGGAAATATGATAGACTGATTCTTCAATTTCAGGTGCTATTTCTTACTCACTTAACTAAGGTTTATACATCATGGACTGGAAATGATGCGAGGCTTTTAACAGTAGCACGTGCAGTTTACTTGGGGATGTATAATGTATTTTTTTGGCAGTGCTGAAGCAACACAATATTTATTTTTTTTTTGGCTTTTCCATAGGAAGGTGGCACTATGCCCACTGGAATCAATGCAGCATACTGTTTCTCCTGGCTGATTCACCCAAATATCAAATTTGAACCTTTGATCAGTGGGAGTGTTTTTCTGATATCAACAGTAGATGGTACTATGCAACACAAATAGTTTATTTTTAGGAATAAGATTACTGTCGCTGTTGACTATTTGGCCATTACACTTTCTCCCGTAACTGCTCATTTACAAATAGCAAAATTCAGCATTGCATACTGACTATGAAATGTAACATAAAACCAAGCATTTATTCACAGAATCTGAACAGGATACTAGGTGCACTGGGAACCCATCAGATAAAACTGCTGTAAGAAAACCGTAGAGAACTACAAGAAGGTCACAGAATATAGAGACTGAAAGTTAGCTTTCTTTTTCGTGTCATGATTTCCCATGAGAATTCCAATCAAACACTCTCAAACTCAATTACCAATCTTAGGCTCCTGAAGGCAAATGTGCCAGTTGGTATTCATATACTGGGCTGAAACAACAACTCGTAAGAATGATGTGTTCACATCATTTTAAATTGGGGTAGTCAATGGGCAGCCCTCACAAAACTCTTTGTTGTCAGGATTTTGGAACCAGATTCCAGTTGGAATGCCATCTAAGTGGATCATTCAAATCAGTAAGCAGGTAAGAGCTATTTGCCAATCTTACTTACCAGATGGGGCTTATCAAAGAAAGAAGTAGCAGCTGGGAACAGAAATCTGCCTTGCTCATTTTGCACTGTTTTAATGTACCTTTGCGTGTGAGCTGAAGCAACTTGGCTGTTCTATCTCATCTAAAGGCCAGACTAGCACTCCAGTTGACTCCTGATGTCTCTCAAGAACAGAACTTGGCTTCTGCGAGAAAACAACTTTTTTGGCTTCAAAGTCTTCCATGGTATATTCTGTGGTGTTTTCCAGCACAAAATGGAATAAAACTATACATTATTACAGACATATTTGAGAAGCGTTCAGAACTAAGTGCTCCAATTTTTGTGCAGTTCACTGTATGAAGAATATAATTAACCTTGGAAAACCCCTTTCCAACTAATCTTTTTTTATATATCTCACATGAACACTTCTGCTTTTAACACAGGCACTAATGTGGAATTTAAGGAAGAATCTATGCGACAACTTTGTCTGAATGCAGACTAGTCCCAGTAAGTCCTTCTGCTAAGACACAACATCATGTGTAGAGGCTGAACCTGCCCACCAGTATTCCATTTTATGTTGCCACCATGTGACAGATGGCAGCAGAGGGGCAGCCTGACAGAACGGTGTCTGACATGGTAGTGTGTATGGAATAATGGTGTGGAATTGAATTCCTCCAGGTGGAAAAAATTGTACCCACTGACATTCATCAATAGGTGCTGAACAAGCTTATAAACAGAAGGTAGACCAACTTTGTACATGGTACAATAGTGATAGGGGAAGTGGGGATGGCTTTAAACTAGAAAAGGAGAGATTTAAGTTAGGTGTTAAGTGGAAGCTCTCTTTACTCAGAGAGCAGTGAGGCATGGTGCAGGCTGCCCAGAGAAGCTGTGGATGCTCCATCCCTGAGGGCATTTAAGGCCAGGTTGGATGGGACCCTGGGCAGCCGAGCTGGTGGGGGGCAGCCTTGCCCATGGCAGGGGGTTGGAATTGGGTGATCTTTAAGGTCCCTTTTATCCTAAGGCATCCTGTGATTCAGAAACTATTGAAAATAATGAGAGTTGATTTCATACACACACCTCTTAGACATTAAAACTGAGTATGTTATGACATGATCTTCTTGCAGTATTTAAGGTCTTCACTTACTTCACAAGATTAAATGTTCCTCCAAACCTAGATGTGGATTTTGAATATTTTATGGGAGAAAACAGCAAGGGAATGCTGGAAAAAGTTTTCCTCCTGTGTTTCACTCCCTTGGCTCCATTTCTGTTGTAAGTACTCTTGAGAGAAAAGTTAGTGAACGGAACACAAATGAGGAAATTGCATTTATGCTATTATTAGTGTAAATCCTTTATGTCAAGTTAAACAGCCAAGATAAGAGTTAGAAATAAGTGGGAAGCCTCCATATAATGAAACTGGACAGAATCAAAAAAGATAGAAAATCAATACATTATTTTTTCCTCAAATCTTATTAGCACTATGCAACAAATTACTGCAAATACAGAAAAAGTGACTGGCACTTTCTGTTTTCACCACACATAGTTACTGTATACTCTTGCCCTTCTTCCTAACATACCTGTTATCACAGAAATTATTAATTTGGGTCAAAAAACACTAGTCTGAAGGCATGGATTATCCTTCGTCATGTTATCACCAAAGTACACAGAAAAATAAAATACGAAGAGTTTTCAGTTTGTGATAGGACACCACAATAAACAATAGCTCAATTGTAGGTATTATGTGATATTAATTGCCTATGACCTTTAATTACAGTGATTTGTCAAAAAAAGTGAACTCAAAAATATTATAAAAAATGCAAGCTGTGAATCACATGGTATGCTAATTCATTAAGAAGCAATTAACAATAACTTTCATCAGAAAGAAGGTTTTTGTACATGCATCTTTATCTGCATGTGCAGATTGTTTAGAAGAAAATTTAAGGGCTTTAAAACTGAGATTAAGAAGAGATTGAGAAGAATGTTCTTTTTTTCAGAAATAGTAACATTTTATTAACTTTTCAAAATAGCTTTGTTTCTAATGACTGAATTAAGAAAAGGTAATTACAATGATATTAGTTCTGCACTACTTAAGATTATATCAGGTTTTCAATCACAAACTCTAATTTTCATGACTATAACTCAATAGCAGTGACATACTCTATGTTGAGTACTGGCTCATGGTTTCTTCAAAAAAGCAACATTAAAAATAGAAACACAACCCTGCTGCTATGAGTTATACACCATTTGAAATGACTACTGTAGACATACCTTTTAATTCATTCAAAGGGACTGCCACTAAAGGAAACTGGTTTCCTTCATAATCTAATAGAATAAATCTCATAGCACTTAGAACCATTTGATTTCAAACAAGATTTGGGGTGGAACATTAGAGCTTATTCATGCAAATACTATACAACAGGGTGCCAACTAATGCAAGATGTTTTGAAACACAGTTCTGAATGATAAATCTCCAGTCTCCACCTTTTCATAAAGCAGATTAAAGATATATATTGAAGACATGGAACAAATGCCTGCTATTGGGAAAAGGTCTAAAGAATTGAAAGTTTTCTGAGCTAAATGTAGAAGGACTGTGGAACTACACTATCCATGATTTTAACAGCTATAGAACTTCATCAAAAAAGACAGGCTTTTTTTTTAGCACACAGACGTTGAGAATTTTTGTTTTTCCTACAATGCTATTTTCTACACATGGTAGTTTAACATCTTCTCATTACTCTCCTTGACATTCAAGAACAGACACTGAAAAGAGGAATATGAGGACTACAGAAGGCCTGCAGAGTACAGTGGATCTGGGCAGCACTACGAGGCAACCAAAAGGCACTGTGATCACTCAGTGGAAGCTACCTGTGCTCAACACCATTTCAACATCCTGCTTAGTCTGTCATTCATTTCCATAGTGCTACTGCTCCTGAATATGAAATTGCCATGCTGATCTTCCCTGCTGCTGGAATGGTACTGTGAATTACCACATTGGAGTTTCTAAAGCACTTTGAGATCCCTGAATATAGGTGCCATGTGAGTGTAAAAGATCAGACTGCATGTCTATTATTATTATTATTTTTTTTCAGAGTATAACTCAGATCTTACTTTGCTTCCAATGCCAGTGCAATGATGCCTGCAGCCATTGGTGCAGAGGCTGACGTTCCAGTATGGCTGTCTGTGCAACGCTGCCTCAGGTCTGTGGTGATCTGGAAGAAATTGAATGTGTGAAATTTAGAACACAGCTTCAGGAATCAGAACAGGTTTCATTCAATCAAATGAGATGCACATGTGGAGGGTATTCACTTCTTTCATTGCAAAGGAAAAAAAAGCTTGTCTGAATACATGATGTCAACATTCTACTCTGATCTCTAAGTCCTTTGTGAACTTGAAGATTGTACTGCACTGAAAACATAAGTTAGTATCCATTTTTTTTCACAGCACGATCAACAAAAAGACTGGTAAATTAAAAAATCCATGGGGTTTTATAACAGCACAGTTAGAACTCTGCCTTATCATTTGCGCTTTGCACCATCCAAGAACCTCAAAGTGCTTTACAAATAAAAATGAAGTTCACAATGTTCGCATCATAGAGTGATCAGGTGCATTTTAGATACAGTAAAACCAAGATACAGAGATGTTAACTAAGTTGCTTTTTGTTACGCTTCAAGTATGATGGTATATGTTTCTGCTCATGCAAACTTCTGTGTTTAACAAATGGGCCTTTTTATTGTTTATGCAATAATTCACATGAAATTAAGCAGGAATTGATCTGAAAAGCCTGTTGTCATAAATTCGTCCTAGAAACCAACTGCCATTTAGTCATTTACAAGTTCTTTACAGAGAGAGTGGTGAGGTGCTGAAACAGGCTTCGCAGAGAGGTTGTGGATGCCCCATCCCTAGAAGTGTTCAAGGCCAGGTTGGATGGGGCCCTGAGCAGCCTGATCTAGTACTAAATGCGGAGGTTGGTGGCCCTGCCTGTGGCAGGAGGGTTGAAGATTCGTGATTCTTGAGGGCCATTCTGTGATTCTGTGATATTTGAAGCTTTAAATTGTTGTATGTGCTGGACAATGTGCTGCTACATACTTGTAACATGGAACCCAAGTGGATGTATAAAACTATATAAAGCAGGCATGTCCAACCCACAGCCCACAGTCCACATGGAGCCTGGCATGTGGCTACCCGCTGCCCTCTGCCATCATGATTGCAACTCTGCCTGCTGAATGACCCTAGCCATCCCCAGGCACACACCCAGTGCTCAAAGCCACCAAACACTGCTGCATGATCATCAATGCCTGGACTGAAACCAGGGCACGGGGAAGGCACAGTGCAGTGCTAACTCAAATGATGGCAAATAATTGTATGCATTTTGACACAGCCCTGTGAACAGCAAAAAAATAAGCATCCATGCTTCCCATTGTGATCAAGGACTTTGAGAACAGGTTTCAAGACTGCCAAAAAAAAAAAAAAAAAAAAAAAAATCACTTTTATGGTTTATTAGCAACTCAATTTTAAGTCAACATAAGTACACTGCCTGCAAACTTTTGAATAGAATGTATAGAGTTGCAATCAGAAATTCAACTCAAAGAAAAATCTCATCATGTCTCTCTATAGGACTTTTATAAGCCCTCTCTTATCAGAGAAAAATATCCCTTACTTCACAATCACACTTTATTCACATCAGTGCTTTTTGGCAGTATGCGCATTTATGAACAACTCTTTTCAAGGATGAAGCACAAGAAGAGTAAAATTTCTCCAAAAATCTCCAGTGAACACCCTGACAGCTCTCAAAGAATTGCTGCCACTGCCACTGAATCAGACTGATGCATTAGTGTCACAGAGTTATTTCTAGATCTGACTCTGTGACAGGGGTACAAGCCCAGAAGTAGGCAAAAGAGAGAGGGGGAAAAAAAACTACCCCACTACCACTGTGTGGCTGGCCCTGGCCTGTGACTAATGAGGCAAGGCACTTGCAGGCCTTATGCTCCAGGAGAGGGGGAGAGGTGGAAGGGTAGGGAGATAGCAGATGAGTTTAAGAAAGAACAACGGCAGCAATTTGAGGAGGAATGGTAATTTACTAAATCCAACAAAATCAAACACAATGAGAGAGAAAAGAGTGTCAAAATACGAGGTCTTACACTAGCAGACTGTAAGGGAAGCATGTGCTCTTCTTGCATGTGCTCATGGCAAACTGAGAGAGAGAGTCAGCGAGAGGAAGAGCAGCTGATGTCCTGCCAGGAGCTCCATCTTTCTATCTCTGCATGCATTCCCTCCTCTCCTCCCCTCTGAGAACCCAAAATGCCCAAAAAAAGGCAGTCCATGGAACAAGAACATTAACTCTTCTACTCCCGCTGTTTTACATGATGTTCCGATGTGGAATACCGACAAGAAAAATCACAAAACAACAACATTCCACCCCTTATTCCACATCACTACATCATGCTTACCTTACATCTATGTACAGACAAAACAGTAATGAACATGCATTACATACACACATATCTATATTCATGGAGTCACTGACTACTCCCCCAGCATCAAATTCCCTTGTGGTACACACTGGATGTCCCCATTTTTCTCCATCACCCACCGAGTGCACTGAGGCCCTTGTGTAAAAACAGTTCCAAAGATAGGTCTGCCCTTCCCAGAAGCTGGAAGGACCCAAACTGCTTTTCCCAACATGCTTTTTATATGTACCACAGGGACCTTATCTTGTTCTACAGTATGTAGGGAGCTGGACTGCATAAGACCATCTCGACTGACTAATCCTCTAGTGTTGACCAGCCAGGTGGCTTCTGCCAAATACTTCTCCCAGTGCTCTCCCCTGTTCTGCCAGTCCAAGTCTATTTGAACCACCTCAATTCTGTCAGCTCGATCTACCTAATGGTATTTTGCTGTGCTTCAGTAGTGCTACTCTTAGGCAAATGGCCATCTACGTGACACCCCTTTATAACTATATTTTTTGTTCCCACTGCTGTAATCACCCACTTGAGGGCATCAGAGTGTACTGGGCACTGGTGTCCAGCAGTGTTTTATATTCCTGTGGTTCTGACATGCCAGGCCATTGAATCCACATAGTCCAGTACACCTTATTATCCCTTTCCCCCTTCTGACTGAGGGCAGGGCCCCGCTACTTTTACCTGCAGTAATGAGAGCAATTTCGGTAGTTGCTCTGTTTTGTAATTCTCTCACTAGTGCTCATAGTGCAGGAATGGGTTGGTGGTGCCACTTCTTCATGTCCTCTCCGTGCTCACGTAAGTAGCTCCACAGGGCAGCACGAGACATAAATTTACTGTGGTCCTTTGCTCAAACAGGGTGGTGTTTGCCTTTGATAGCTGAGACTTTAATCAGTTCAATCAGCTCCTTCAGCAGACTCTATTGATCATCCTGGTCTTCCTCAGGTGTTTCTGATACAGCCATGGTTCACTGTGATTAATCACTAGGGACAATTCCTCCAACAGTGGAATTCCTCCAACAGTGCCTGTTTCTTATCCATTTTATCTATTCTCTTATCCACTTTATCTAGTCTTTCTGTTACTTTGGAGATGGCTGAAATGGAAGCATGGGATGGAGGTAGTTTTTGTTCAAAATTTTGAAGTGTAAGAATCAGTTCAAAAACTGGGGGTCTTCTGCCCTTGAATCTATTAAACATTACTACCAGTGTACTGGCGTACCTTTCTGGCACCGTTCTTGTGAACTTCCACTGTATTTCGGATGTACTCCTTACCCTCCAGGACCATGGCTCTGGCATAGATCATTAGGAACAAATGTGAGATCATACAGCATTCCCACCATAGCTGTTTCGCTCAAATATTGGATACCATACTTAACAGTATTCTACTTTCTCATCTCAGGCTCCAGATTGTCTTTGAAGGGATGTCTTTCCTTCACAGCTAATAACATTCATTCCCAGAGGGTGTTGACTCTGTCCAGACATCTATTAATTCATCTGTTAATAGCTGAGTCTCTGGCAATGCCTCCTAATTGGCAAGCTTCATTACTATATAGGGACACGCTACTGTCCTCGTTGTTCCAACACTGAAGAAATCAGGCATCAATAAAGTAGGCATCAAAAGTTCTTTTTTGTGCCTTGGATTTCAGTCATTTTTAGGGGTCGACAAACTGTGGTAACAGTGACTCCCTCCTCATCACTCTCCTCTCCATGTCTCTTACTTTTCTCAGTTGCCTTTCTTGGTGACAGTGGTTTTGGGGAGGGCCCCTCACCTGGATCTTCCTCTTCTTCTTCTTCTTTGCATGGACACCAGTTTCTATTTCTGCCCCTCCACAGGGGCAACTGACATTGATACTGGTGCTTCCTGTGATCGATTGGGTTTGACTTGGAGGTTTTTCCCTTTGGTTTGGATCTCAATTTGGAAACGCTTTCTCTCCAGAACAGTATTATATAGAGCTTGGTAAGCCAAGCCCCAGATAAGTCGTTCCTCCTCAGATCTTTCTGAGCTGCACCAACACTTACTCAAACGCTCGCTTAGTTTCTAAGGATTCCACAGGTTCAAGAGTGAAATCCCATGACACTGGGGGTCTCAATGCTTCTAACCTCTTTCCTAAAACCATGTTCCCTGCCACTTAACGTTCTCTGGTTTAGGGAAAAGCTTCCTCCACATAATGTAAAATACTATTGTAGAGAATACATTCAGAGAGACTGATAGCACGTCCATAAGCCAGCATCCCAAACATGCATAAGGAACTGAGAAAAGCACCTGGAAACGAGTCCAAACATCATATCGTTTGTTATATTAGCTAGGATGTATAGGAGCCAGGCAGGTATCTCCATCAGTACTCTTAATTGGTTATATGTATATATGCAACTCTGACTCTGAACATGATGAACTTAAATTAATATGTTCCAAGGAACATAATGGTCGTTAGTCCTCTATACAATACTCTTAAAATGAAGTTAGAGATTCATAGCTTCTGCTTGCATTCTCCAGCAATAACTGTCATGGAGTTATCTCTAGATCTGCATCTGTGACAGGGGCACAGGCTCAGAAGGCGACCAGAAAAGAGAGAGGGGGGAAAAAAATCACCACACCTTCTGCAGTGTGGCAGTCAGCCCCAGTCTGTGACTCATGAGGCAAGGCACTTGTGGACCATGCCGGAGATGGGGGGAGGGGGAAGGGTAGGGAGATAGCAGATGGGTCTAAAAAAACAGATGGCAACGATCTGAGGAGGAATGGTAATTTACTAAATC